TCCTCAGAGGGACTTGGGGAATGGACTCCCCACCCCCCCACCCCAGGACCAGGGGCTACTTTTAGACGTCTCCTCCCCCTTGCCCCAAAAAGCAACCCCCCACAGAGAATCAACCCTCCCCCCAATCCCACCCACCCCTCCCTGCACCCCAACTTATTTCCTCAGCTCCTAGCACCGGCAAACGCTGGTAAAACCAACATTGAGAGCAGCTTGTGGAACAGTGTATTTGGGGGGCAGGCTGGTCCATGGTGGGGGGGAGGTCCATCTGGGAATGGGGTAAAGGGCTGAGGGGCTAAACATAGCCTACTACCAGGGAGTGGGTAGGAAAAGTGCAGCTCCGGGCTGGGGCCAGGGTGTGGGCTTTCCCAGGACCAGGTATGTGCTGGGTGCTATACAGAAGTTCACGTAGTTCAGTCTTCTCAGGTCCAATCTACATTATGTTACGTTGGAGGTACAGTTAACTTAGATTGGGTTGGCCATGTTAGACCAATCTAAACTTCCTGAACTTCTGTACAGTTCACACTTAGAACCACCTAACTAGGGATGTAGGTGTAAGGTCCTTCCTGTATGAACTAAGTTAGATTGGGTGGCCATTTTTAATGCTGTCCAAATGTCTATATGTACCCAGAAACACCACTGATACTCTATGACATGCTATAAGAAGAAGTAGGGGAGATGAGAGCATTGCCAATGTTGTCTTACTAAAATGGCAGAAAAGTATTTGATCAGTACCTAACTCAGAGGATCCTAGAATAAGAACCATGTCCCATGCTAAAAAGATCTCCCCCACTACACACTGACTGCAATTCTGACTTAAGTAATAACATTTTTTCCAGACATCAGATTTGACTGTAAGTAGGTGTGTCTACATGAGACACTTTACTGTGCAGTAGAGCAAATTACTACGCAGTAAGTATCACCATCTGCACATGCAGACACTTACTATGCAGTAATTTGCTCTACTCTGCAGTTAATTTGGTACCTGCAAATGCTGGTAGCAAATTAACTGAGGAGTAGCTACTATGCAGTAAGGCACATGTAGACAGCTGACTGGGAGCAAATTTGCCCCCAGTCAGCTCAGCAGCAGGGGGCAGAAGATCGCTTTCTGCCCCTGGGAGCTGCCTAATGCCAGAGAGGGTTCTGGTGGTGGAGCCTCAGCCAGGACAATGTCCCCCTGCCCTAGTGGAAGGGAGCTTCCAGCCCAACACTCCAATTGTGGAGCAGAGGCTGGGAGCTCCCTGCATGAAGAGAGTTTGCCACCCAGCCTAGAGCTGGCTGGGACCTGTCCTAGACTGGAACAGTTCCTGGCCACCCCCAGGCTATTCAGGGATGTCTGGATATGCAGCCTGGAGCTGGATGGGAACTGCCCAAAATGGGAAAGTTCCCAGCCAGCTCTGGGCTGCATGTGCAGAATTCCCCACACAGCCCAGGGCTGGGCAGAAACTGTCTCAGTCGGGGGCAGGTCCCAGTCCTGCAGCTCTTTCCCAGCCCTGTGCCCCGACTGGGCGATCAAGGCAGGGGCAGGGGCTTGGGAAGAGCTGCAGGGGAGGGGCAGGTCCCAGCCCTCTCCCCCGATCCACCAGTGGGGCAGCTAGCAGTGAGCTCCCTGTTGGGTGGGAAATCCCTGCCCAGACAGGGGCTCGCTGCTAGCTGCCCCACTGATAGATTGGGGCAGGAGCCTGAGATCTGCCCCCCCCCAGCTCTTTCCAAGCCCCTTGTGCCCAATCGGGGAGCCAGAGCCAGGGTCTCCATGATGCCAAGGCAAGGGGACATTGTCCCACCCCAGATTCCACCATTGGAGCTCACCCTGGCAGTAGGCAGCTCTTGGGAGTAGGGAGCAATCTCCCCACCCCCCACCAGAAGATAGCAGTCTTCTGGCCTCCTGCTCTCTGCCAGGCCCTGCATCCAGAGGTGGAAAGCAGGGTGGGAGCAAACCTCTCAAATGCTTGCATGTGTAGACACCTGCCCAAGGTGCAGTAAATTACTTTGCAGTAATTTACTCCAGAGTAAGCCCCTCTAGCAGCATTTCAACATGTAGACACACCCAGTATGACTTTCAGTGAAAGACCCAGGAACCTCTAAATTTTCTAAGTACCAGCCTAGTCTAACCCTTCCTCCCTAGTCCCCACCCCCCTCAAATCCTTAGCTGCAGCCAATGTCCAGTGCTTCAGAGCAGGGGTTTTCAATTCTTTTTTAACAAGTGACCCCTGGCGGCCCCTTTTTAGTAAGTGTCCCCCCGGGGGGAGGGACGGCAAGCAACTGGACTAAGCGGGTCAGAACGAGTGGGGGTGTGGCGAATGGTGGAGCGGTGGCAATGCAACATCTGTGTGGCCCTGCTTTTTCCCTGCCTCAGCCCTGCTCCTGTGAGGCAGCAGCATGGGGTGGTGGTGCTCCATCCTCACTCACCCCTGTGTACCCCCGGGACCTTTCAAAGTACCCAACCCCTGGCTGACAACTGCTGCTTCAGAGGAAGGCAAAAAAATTCCCAGAAGCCAATACTATTTATGAAAGGGAAAAAAAAATGTTTGCTAACCCCTGCAAGTGACCAGCCAAAGTGCTGAAGCTTGGGGTTGCTAGACCTCTACCACACTGCAGAACTACCTCTATACCCAAACATGCACATTGCAAGTACTTGATTTTGCATATAACACAAGGTGATTTCTGAACCAAGACCCTTTATCCTATCATGCTATTTCTTCCATAACATATTGAGTTTTATCATATAACAAATAAGATTCCTGGCCACCACTACGTTGCTCAGACACTGGGCCAATACTTCCATAAGTTCAGCTATGTGTAACGCTGGCATGGATTTACTTGTAATATTATGTCAGCTTGCATTTGCTTGTGATCTAAATGGCATTCTCTTTAAAAGCAACTCTTGCTGCCCATCTCATTCCATACGAATTCCTCTCTTCATTCAAGTTCAAGGTTGATCTAAAATCACTGTTAAATTCATAAAGATGTTAATAATCTATGCATTCCTAGCATACAATATCCATGCAAACATTTCAAATAAAAGCTAAATGCTTATTTGAAGAGTTTTAATTAAACCATGCCCAAATTCCTACCTGACTTCACCTACTATTACAGAAGAGAGCATTTATTCCATCACTGCAGCTATGAATGGCGTTTTTTAAAACATTAACATAAGTTCTTTTTCCCCCATCATAAATGATTAGAGGAAATACAAAGGGAGAATGTAACAGGGCTCAGAGGACCCTGCTACCTTAAGAGGAAAAGTGCAGCAGGCAACACCTGCAATCAGATGCAGGCAGAAGGCTAAGGGATAGCTACAAAAGGGTAAGCAGCCAGGGGAAGCTGGAGATAAGGATTACAGGGCTACAAGTAATTTCTGCAGATTCAGGAAAGTATCCTGAAGATTGGGAGGGAGTCAGCAAATAGGGGATGGGGCTTTGTTGTAATGTAGAGACCTGAGGTAGGGTTTTTAGTCTAAGTCAGAGACTGGTTAGTGTGGGTTTTGTTTTGGTTGAACTGGAGGTTTGGGAGTGGCTAAAGGGGCAGACTGAGATGACAGGGCCTTCTGAGAAGCACTCTGTGCTTTGAACCCTACAAGAGTCTGGGACCCACTGGGCTCAAGGCAGCAAAGCAGCAGCCCTGCAAGGGTTAGGGGCTGGCGTGAGTTGGGAGTAGAGGTAGGTGAGCTGATTTTAATACAGGGCTAGAGGGCCCAGCAAATGGAGCTAAGAGTAAAACCCACAAGGCATGGGGGTGGTTACAGAGGAGGGTGGACTCAACACTTCATGGCCCTAAGGCATGGTTAGGGCCAGGAGGCCATGATTAGGACTAGTAGGGCACAATCAGTGCCAGTGAGGCACAGAATTGGAGTTAGTGGACTTAGGGTCTGTTGGTGAGAAGGGTTAAACAGTTTGAGCTAGGCCAAGTGCAGATTCATCAGGCTCAATCAAGGACTCTGCAGGGGGAGCATCCCAAAGCAACATCACAATGCATCAGTGTGACAAGTGAAGCAGTAAAGGGGGTTAGCCTGAGGAGCTGGAGTGGGGCAGGATTAATTCCCCACCATGAGGGGGTGTCATGGATGCCCTTGGGGCTAGTCTTGAAACAGGGAACCAAAAAAGAACTGAAGTGGATCATATCCATGAGCTATTGCAATGGCAACAATACACACAAGACTGCATGCCACTAAGAATGGAAAATAACAAGGCAAAGCCTAGAGTGGAGTGACAGCAACTACAGGGGAAAGGGCTGCTTGCTTTTTCTTTCATCCCCAGTTGGAATGAATCTCTGCAATACTTCACCAACTGCCCCATTCCTATATTGCCGCCCACCCAATAAAAAACTGAATGGCTCCTCTCCCTGTCAACTAATCCAAATTCACCCCCTAGCTTGCACTGACTGAACTTGGCTGCCCTGAACTGTGAGAAAGGCTCATGTGTCCCTGGGGAGCTGTAATCTCTTTGGCCTAGTTTTATAAGAAATATGACTTTTTCTTGACTCTGGGAGCCCCAAAAGACTTGGCTCCCTGACTGAGTCACAGGCCAGAGAAACTGGTGATGCTGACACATGTGCACCTCTGACTACTCTTAGCTCTAGCAGATGGCTTTGCCTCCTGTTTCCTAGGAAAACACTCCAATAGTGTCTCCGTAAGCCTACTCCACTACCATGTGCAATGTCAGAGCTACATGGATTGTGGGGAGACCTTGAATGGCCTGTGACTTCCTTTCACAGCAATCAGTGACAAACTGTCATGTTTACACTGAGAGAAGGAAGGGATAATGTCAAAAAAAAATATGTTTCACAGTGGAATTCAGAGTTCAGAGGTTTCTGTGAAACACTAATGTCAATAAAACTAAGCTTCAGCCTTTGAAGGTGCCTTCCCCAACTATTCAGAATGCTCACTACAGTGTCTCCAGTTGCCCTTCACACCCAACTGTGAATTCATTTATGCTTGTCAAATGGGAAAATTATTGTTTAACTTGTGCCTCCAAGGAATTCTAATAGCCCATCTGTTATCTTACCTTGAAGCATGGCTGAGGTGGTGTAATAGTTGAATGGAACATTCTTCACCATGTACTCATCAGTATCCAGTGAAGAGAGTTTGCTTCCTACCAGCACAGATTTCCCAGTGCCTGCATTACCCACAAGCATGACTGGCCTCCGTTGTTCCAGGAGCTTGTCCATGAAGTACCTTACTCGTATGGTTTCACTGGTAGGCACCAGACAAGCCTACAGAAAGCAAGGTGGAAACACGCAGTGAGTCTCAAACCAACCTTCCTCTTGCAGCCATAGTCAGATGACAGGTGTGGGAGAATCCTGATCAAGCCAAGCAAGATACAAACATGTAAGGAAACATGTAAGGCAGCACCTTACATTGGTGCTGCCAAAGCAAGCAGCACCAATGTTCAATAAACCCCTGCCCGACACTTAAATTGAAAGTTTGATAACTGCCTTGGTGAAACTGTGTCTCATTAGTAAAATAGGTTTTCCCAGGGGCTGATCAAAATGTTTCCATCGTAAGTGTTTCCTGATGAAACTTGTGTAACTAAACACATTTTCATTAAAATCTCTTTCTGTGGAAAAGTTCCATTTTGTCAAAAAAATCTACCTCAAAAGTGAAATATTTCATTTTTTCAGGTAAAAAATGAATTACTTTGTGATATTGCTACAGTGAATTTTCATGAAAAGATCCATGCAGCATGAGGATATGTGACTAATAATTGGGACAGCACTATATTTTTGCAGGTAATCTTGATCCAATTTGCCCCACCTAGCAAACACATTCCCATTCACTGTAACAAGAGTATCATTTCTGTAATGAACCTTTTTTTTGTAATCACAAAAGACTAAGCCAGTTGGGCAGCTTAATAACTTTAGAATTAATATATTTACCGTAGAATGTCACTTTTATTAACAAACATTCATTTTATCACTCCAGTGCTAATGAATCATAGTGTAAAGAGATGCAATGTGCACACAGACACACATATATAGCTCCTATATTCTTTAAAAGCAGAAAAGCAAACAGATTGACTTACTTGTAATGGCAGTTCTGGATCAAATTCAAATTTGGGGATAAGTTTAGACCAAGGCTCAAACTTCTTTGTTTCTGGATCAATGTAAAAATCAAAGACAGTTCCCTGAGAAGGAAACTTGATGGTCTTAAACTCAGTCACCCACCACTTACTGAACTCTACTCTGTAGTCTACAAGCTGCAAGACAAAATGGGGAAAACATAGGTTAAACTGCAGAAAATAATTTTTGATGGGAAAGGTTATCTAAACGATCTCCCTAGCCCTTATCTATGATCCCTAGTGTTCTGCTCAGACTGTTTCCATATCAGAATATTTTATAGCCTAACAAAATTGTGCCAGGGCCTTTCTCCTAATATTTAGCTTAATTTTTCATTTTTGCACTTTACTCATGCTACTCCTATTTATAGCCATAAATGCATCTTTCTTGTGTTGTTCATTCTACATATGCGTTAAACTACTTAGATTGGTTGCAAAGAGTTTCCATGATCCTGATTCCCATCGTGTTTAGCCAAAGTATGCAAGTATGTATCAGTTTGTTCTGTCTTAGCATCCTTACTCATCTTGTTTCACCATATCCTGCACTTCCTACTATGCCTAACAGTATACACCAAAAATCAATGAAGGAAGGATGACAATTGTAAGTTAGACACTGAACTGGGACTCCAAAGGTATAGATTTAGTCCCCTGGTCCACCAGAGAAATCCTGTGTAACAATGGGCAAGTCACTTAGAGTGCCTACACAGGTTACAATTTTTACATGATCGGGCCCCTAAAAGCACTCTACAGCCATGATGTAACATGCATGCACAGCAGCAGAGCACTTCTAAAATGGCCAATTACGTGAGAGAGGTGTGGTTCAGGAGAGGTATGGTTCAGAAGCTGCCTCGGAGGCTGCTGGAGCACCCCCACTTGCTGGCCAGGGCCAGTACTGGCTGGCTTCAGCCCCGCCTCCGACCAAACAGGTGAACATTTGTTGGGTTGGGGTTGGATGGGCTCCAACTCATGGTGCTTTATGTAAAGTGCCATGAATTAGAGCAGGGCCCTAAATATCTGTAGGGCCCCTTTTTTACTCTGGCTTTATTTCCCACATATACAATGGAAATAATGGCATTTTATCCTGTGAGTGTTAAGAAAAAAAATGTTCCTTAATGTCTCTGAGGTGTTCAGAGGCTATAGTGGGAATGCCTCAATGGTATATTTAATGTATGCAGATTTTCCAAAATCTCACTGAATCTCTCTCATGATTTATTTCTCCTTAGATTTATTTGCTGTGCATTTTCTTCCAAAACAGAAACCCTGATATTTCTACCAGCTCAACAAACCTGTATCAGAAAGCACTGATTTTCACTAAGTTTTAACTGGTGCCTTGTGTGAAAAATTGCAGGCCATTTGCCATCTTGAACTACTCAAGAACCCCCCAACAATCAGTTTTCTAAAAAAATATTGCTATCTAGGATTTTGCTGCTCAGAGAGGCTGAATAACTGTATTTCGTAGTTTTCTTGTTGCTGTAATTCCTCAGTATTGGATGCAGATAAACCTGCCTTCAACAAGGATATAGATGCATCACCGCTAAAAGCTCTCTCGCAAGGGTACCTCACCACTGTGCAGAAGTGCCTCCAGCTCCACTGTAATTTGCCATTCACTTTCTCTTATGTGATTTAACTGGAGCAATTTAGTTCCAACTCATGTTGCCAAAGATGTGTTAACCTTGAGCTGTTTCCTCCATAAGAACCCCTTGTGGATTGTTGCTAATTTCAGAACCTTGAAATAGCAAATCTATCATCTATTTTATATAGGGATTTCACACACACTGGACAAGCATACAGTCATTCAAAGATTTCCTGATTGTTTATCCTGACATTTCATCAGCAAAAGGTCAGAGCAAAGGGCACGTTCAGTGGTAAGCAATAAACAGATTTTATATTTGATTATTTTTCATGAGGCTACTGCTTGGTCTTGTACAGTCTGCTATATGTTTAGATTCCCAGCTCAGATATCAAAAGAAGAAATACATAGTCTAGCATCATAAGCAAAGATTCTGGGCTAAATCCTATTTCAACTTTACATGTCCTGCCCCCTCCAATCTCTCCTGCAGGGTTTGCCCTGGATGGCAACTCTGTTTGTCACTCCATTCCTTAGAAGACTGTACTATGTTTATGTGAGCTCCATGGTGGAACAGAATCACCCAGGTATGTGTATCACTCCATTTTACTCCAAAAACCTTAAGTACAGAAAAACATGCCTAATGAGTTCGGGCTCCTATAGATGTGCAGTGTGGCTGATCCAATGTGATGTAAATCCAGAACATCAGAGCAGATTCAATTAACTGAATCTGCTTGGGCGCAGAAATTGTTCCAGCAGCCTCCAGTGTCATGTATATCAGTGGCCAGGCACCAAAAAATGGTGGTGGGGTGCTTTGAATTAAATGAGCTTTAGTTCAATGCACGCCACTGACATTTCTTGGTGCAGGGATGCTGATGCATGATGCTCAGGTGCTTTTAATTATCGTGGCTTGCTAAATAAAGCACCCCCCACCACCATCTCCCAGAGCATGTCTATCAAAACCCTTTATGACCAAAACCAGAGGCCCTCCTCTTTAGTGGTCAAGGTACTTCCCCAGGAAGAACTGACCCAGGTTCACATTCTTTCTCTTCACTAGAGTTGAGTGAACATTCTTCTCCCATTTCCCAGGAAAGTGATCTGGCTAGCTATCAGGCCATGGGTTAGGCATTGCCTGAACACTTACTAGTCCTCCTCCTAAAATTGACCTATAAGGCAGCCAGGAGAGGAAGATGTGTGGGACCGGGAGGAAAATAAGGGGTAGCAGAGGAATCAGGGAGATCAGTGTTATCCTGAACAGGTGGGTGCAGCCTGAGATTCAAACCATGATCCACAGCACCCATAGGCAAAGACTAGGCTGTAGCATCATCAGGCAACTAGCTATGCATCTGCTCTAGCTCAGGCTGAATCCTCCCATGAGGACTAGATGAAAAGTGTGATTAGAAACAATCAGCATGGATTCACCAGGGGCAAGTCATGCCTGACCAACCTGACTGCCTTCTATGACATGGTGACTGGCTCTGTGGATGTGGGGAGACTGGTGGATGTGGTACACCTTGACTTTAGCAAGGCTTTTGATACCACATCCTCACAGGCAAGCCAAGAAAGTATAGTCTGGATGAATAGACTGTAAGGTGGATAGAAAACTAGCTGAAGCATCGGGCTCATAGATTAGTAATCCATGGCTCAATGTCTAGTTGGCAGCCGGTATCAAGTGAAGTTTCCCAGGGGGTGGTCCTGGGACTTGTTTTTTGCAATATCTTCATCAACGACTTGGAAGATGGTATAGAGTGCATCCTCAGCAAGTTTGCAGATTACACCAAGCTGGCAGGGGATGGTGGGGGCGGAGAGTAGTGGTTATGCTGGAGGGTAGGGCTAGGATCCAGAGTGACCTAGACAATTTGGAGAATTGGGCCAAAAGGAATCTCATAAGGTTCAACAAGGACAAGTGCAAAGTCCTGCTCTTAGGATGGAGTAGCCCCATTCATCAGTATAGGCTAGTGACTGTGACTGGCTGGGCAGCAGCTCTGCAGAAAAGGACCTGGGGGTTCCAGTAGACAATAAGCTGACAATGTGTCTTTGTTGCTGAGAAGGCTGATAGCATACTAGGCTGCCTTGGTAGATGTGTTGTCAGTAGGTCAAGGGAAATGATTATTCCCCTCTATTCAGCACTGGTGAGGCCACATCTCAAGTACTGTGTTCATTTTGGGCACCCCACTACAGAAAGGATGTGGACAAATTGGAGAGAGTCAAGCGGAGGGGAACAAAAATGGTGAAGAGGTTGGGGAATAAACTTATGAGGAAAGACTGAGGGAATTGGGCTTATTTAGTCTATAGAAGAGGAGACTTAGGGGGGGATTTAATAGCAGCCTTCAACTACTTGAAGGGAGGTTGTGAAGAGGATGGAGCTAGACTGTTTTCAGTAGTGGCAGATGACAGAACAAGGAACAAATGTCTCAAGTTACAGCAAGGGAAGTTTAGATTAGATATTAGAAAGAATTTTCTCACTAGATGTGTAGTAAAACACTGGAATAGGCTACCCAGAGAAGTGGTGGAAGCTCCATCCTTGGGGGTTTTCAAAACCTGGCTAGACAAAGCTTTGGCTGGGATGATCTAGTTGGGGATGGCCCTGCTTTGAGCAGGGGGTTGGATTAGATGACCTCCTGAGGTCCCTTCCAAACCCCATTTTCTATGATTCTATGACTAGTAGCTTTTAAAACTACCGGGAAACCAAGAAACAGCCTTGCTGTACCAAACTGAGCCATATAGCAGAAAGGTAGTGGTAGGAGCATCAGCTGACAAAACAGATGTGATGTGGGTTAAGGGTTGGAATAAAATACCCATCTTTCTCTTTCCTACAAAAGACCTCAGGAGGAGGAAGGTAGTGTCTGTATGAGTTGCTTGAGACAGTGTTGAACTGAGATAGACAGAGTGATGTACCATTAAAGTTCTAGCATCTTGGAGGGTATGCAAGTTTGGGAAGAAGGCACCTCAGAAACCCTTTGCTACCCGTACTATAGTAACAATATAGGTTTTCCAATGGGTAGGGGTGACCATGTTTCAGAAGAGCTGGAGTGAAGATCATTCTTAAACCAACACCATCTCTTTTCCTTGCTTGTTTCTCCCATTAATCTTTTATCATGGCACTCATAAAAAGGCTGAAAACCCCCAAAAATGAGAAACTGACCTTAGAAATTAAGTCAAGTTTGTTTGATTTAACAATTTGTTTGCTCATGCCCAATTTGTTTCATACAAGCTGATGGCACTGGAGACTAAGATCTCCTATTAATCCACTAGCTGGATATGCAAAGTGTAGCAACACCAGCAGCAGCCTTCACAGGGTCCACTAGGGACATGAGTTTTGAACTGGAGATTCCACTTCCATACATGTATAGTCATAGATGTTAGGGTCAGAAGGGACCTCAGTAGATCATCAAGTCCAACCCCCTGCCCTGGGCAGGAAAGACCGCTGGGGTGCTCAGACGACCCCAGCTAGGTGCTTGTCCAGTCTCTTCTTGAAGACCCCCAAGGTAGGCAAGAGCACCACCCCCCTTGGCAGCCCATTCCAGATTCTGGCAACCGTTACTATGAATAAGTTCTTTCTAATGTCAAACCT